AGTAAACTCTCAATGGCTGCAAGCAGATAAAAGTTAACGCAGAATCCTTAGAGTTAAGTGGTAAATTCTCTAAGTTTCCGCAAAAAAGAAGAGCCGTGACGAGCTTAAATCACGGTGGCACAACGGAGCTTGCAGCGACGCCCTGGCACGGCGCCATCTTGGTAGTTTCTCATAGTACGCAAAGCAAAAACGCCTAATCTAGTGGGACGAATAAGCCTGGTCAGAGCAGTCATTAAATGAAGTGGATACGGACTGTTGTGGAGACAGTGGCTCAACAGGTGTCTATTATTGGAGTGGACTGGAAAAATTATATTTGGGGTCTATTACAATTGTGGCTTGTACATCACTAGGCTGGCTGCATATGTTGAAAGTGTGTGCCCGTTGGAACCCAATGGAGGAAGAGGGCAGCCGGCCATCCAACAGCTCAGGGTACTGGGATAGGGGCCCACAAGGGGAGCTATGGGATCCACCTGTGGGACCTGAGCCATCCTCTCGCCAGAACAGGCAGCAAAAAAGTCAAGCGATGCTGAGAGAGGAGAAGCCAGTGTTTGCCCAGGACGATTGGACACTGGATGTATTTTAAAGAACTTCAATATGAACATTCGTTAAAACACAAGTCCCAGTCCAAAGCGTCTTATAAACTCATATCGCACGTTATCTCTACACAGAAAGTAAGTAAAGTTCTCACATTCAAGATCTGCTGAGTAGGGATGGATTCAAAAGTCATGTTCACCACTATTCGTCACCTATTGTATGTGTCCAAAAAAAAAGATGGAACCCTCCGTCATGTAGTGGCATTACTGACTGTTGAACCAAAAGACTTTGCCTTGATCGCCACCCCCATCCCCCGGATCCAGGAAATTTTGGAAAATATCGGGCGGCAAACTCACGGGGGGCAAATCATGGTTCAATGACTGGATCAAGGCAAGGCATACCAATCCGGGATTTGTGTGTGAGCAGAGGCCGCCATCCTTAGGAAAATCCGCAAGACGGACGGGATCAGTCCCAAGCTCTCTGAGGTCCTCACCTACATTACAACCTGAGCCTTCAGCCCTGGAGAAGGTGTCCCTGATCCTGTGGAAGACCCTCTTGTGTGATCCCGGTTCCTTAAAACCGCGCAAGCCAAGGAACCGGCTCACTACAGACCAGTCGCACTGGACCTTCCCACCTGATGAAAGGGACAATGAAGCGGCTCATCTCAGCCCATCTCCGCTCTGTGGTCTAAGCCCACCCTGAACAGCTGCAGTTCGCCTACAGGCCCAATTATCGGACGTAGTTAGAGGACGCCGTTCAATCTACTTCCTGCAGCGGGACGCTCTCCCCCTGGAGCCCCACCGGGAGAGCTTGCCTTGTGAGGGTTCGTGTTCTTCGGACTTCTCCAGTGCTTTCAACACCATCAGGCCGAGGTACTGCTGCTGGGGGAAGATGGAGGATCGCAGGAGTGGACAGTAGCATCACTGCTAGACCATCGACTACCTCTCAGACCTGACCACCAGTCAACGTTGCGGTGTGGGTTCTGAGGTGTAGTCTGCAGTTGTGTGGCCCCATCTGGGCACTGTCACTCTCAACGTTTTCTCTTCACCCATCTACACTTCAGACTTCACATACGACAACACACAGCTGTCACCTGCAGAGTTCTCCGCCATAGTGGGCTGTGTGTTAGAGTGGAAACCAACTGGAATATCGTCAGTATATCACAGACTGTCGACTGGTGGAGCGCAACCACTTGTGCTTGAAACCCAGTAAGGACCAAGGAGATGATCATCGACTTCAGAGAAACCACTTCCCCACACGCTGCTGAACATCCAGGGGGGGACATTGAGCTTGTGGACAGCTTACGATTACCTGGGTGTTCACCAGTGGAGGCGGGGGGGGGGTCCCGGCTCAAAAGTGGCTAAAATGATGTCGCCGACATGCCTGCCAATTACCACCTCCGGGCGTGTGGGGTGGTGGACCCGGAATAAGAATTAAGCCAATGCTACATAGCACTAGTGGCCTGTTGGATAGCTCCAGTTAGAGCAATATTTATGGCCCCTTAGATTGTAAGGCGGAGGATCGCATGACTACTAGGGTTGGGCGATATTTTTTTTTGTACCGGCTTATAAGTAAATTAAATGATACAGAAAATTGCCTTTTATACCGGTGAAATCGATCATTTTTTAACACTGAAAACAGCGAGCGGCAAGACACGGTTGTGTGCGGCGCCACTTTAATGCGCATCTGCGCGGCCGTGTAGCAGAGAGGCGTGCAGGGACAACAACAACAGAGAGCAACACCATGCTGAGGGCGGCGCGTTTGAAGACCATTCGGTGAAGACCATGCAGATTGTAGAAGACATTTGTGCCAAAACTGAGGAGCTACCTCAAAATATTGGGAGTAGTTTGGGAAAACTAAGATCAAAAAGAAGCAATTGTGTGTAACCTATCGACAGTGGATCTAATGTTGTGAAAGCAGCAGCTGCCCTAAACCAGTGGTTCCCAAAAGTGGGGGTCCCGAACCCCCGGGGGGTCGCGGGGAACCCCTGGGGGGGGGGTCGCAAGATGATTTCCAAAAAAAAAAAAAAAAAAAAATAAAAAACATTTCGCTAATTAATAGCCCTAAATATTGATATAACATTTGATTTGATTTCAAAAGGACTACTTGTAAATAGATTGTGTTAGGAGAATATAAATTATTTAAATTACGTTTGTAATTTTGTCCAGTCATTGACAGCGTTCAATCAAAAATCAAGTTACGTAGCTTACGTTACGTCCCACGGCAGCGAACAAAGCGGTGTCCAGCAGTTGTTTGCTAAAAACCTAAATGGTGTTTGGAGGCTTCAAACAAATAATAACCTGCTTTTTTAAAATGAACGTGGTAATATCCATCTACAGAAAAACCCGGAGGGAGAGAATAAGTCACATGTTGAGGTCAGGCTCCATGGTGCGAGAAGAGGGAGATGAGGCGCGGAGGGAGACGAAGGCAGCGGTTTAGAAGCAGGGAGAAGAGGGTGGTTTAAAGAGGCCCGGCTTTTCGGACGTCAGTGGTAAAGAGGTCGCACATTAAAAGCGGGTGGGCGGGTGGACCTGCTTTATGCGGTTACTTACAGTAACTTTGGAAAAGAAAGCCGCGGGGGAGATGAAAGCGCAAAAGTCAACAGCAGAGAAAGCGGGGGGCCGCCCGCTTTTTATGTGCGGACCTCTCTTTACGTCTGACTACGAAAAGCCGGGCCACTATACCACCTCATCTACCAGCTGACTTCTCTCCCTCGCTGCCCCTCTCTCCCTCTCTTCGCACCATCAGCATGACCCTCAATGTGATTTTCTCTCCCTCCGGGTTTTTCTGTAGTGAGATATTAACCACGTTTCATTTGAAAGCAGTGTTTATTTGTTTGAGCTCCAAACACCTTTAGTTTTAAGCAAACAAAAACAAGATGGTCACGCTTGTGCTGCGTGCGTAAGCTACGTAACTTGATTTTTGATTGACGGCTGCCTCAATGAATGGACAAAATTACAAACGTAATTTAAATATTTTATATTCTCCTAACACATTAACAAGTAGTCCTTTTGAATCAAACTCAAATGTTAAATCACTAGTTAAGGGCTATTAATTAGCTAAATGTTTTTTTTTTTTTTTTTTTTTTTTGGATACTATCTTGCGACCCCCCCCAGGGGTTCCCTGCGGAACCCCCCGGGGGTCGGGCCCTCACTTTTGGGAACCACTTGTTTAGGGGCAGCTGCTTTCACAACATTAGAAATCCACTGTCGATAGTTACACACAATTGCTTCTTTTGATTCTAGTTCCCAAATACTCCCATATGTTTTGAGGTAGCTCGCGTTTGGGCACAATGTCTTCTACACTCTGCATGTCTTCACCATGGTCTTCACCGCCGCCTCAGCCATATTGTTTGCTCTCTGTTGTTGTTGTCCCTGCACGCCGCTCTGCTAACACGTGCCGCGCAGATGCGTCATTAAAGTGCGCCGCACACAAACCGTGTCTTCGCTTCGCTGTTTTCAGGTGTAATGATCGTTTTCACGGTATAAGGCATTTTCTTTATCATTTAATATACTCTATAACGGTACAAAAAAACATGCCCAACCCTAGTAGTCATGGCTATCTCCGCCTTACAATCTAATGGGCCAAAAAAATACTTGTCTACTGGAAGCTATCCCTAACATGGCCACAAGTGCTAGGTTAGAAGTTGGCTAAATCTTATTCGGGTCCACCCCACCGGCCCGTGACGGTGGTATTTGCAGCATGTCGGCGCACATCATTTTAGCCACTTTTGAGCCGGGACCCGCCTCCACTGGTGAACACCCCAGGTAATTTAAGCTGCTCCCCCAGCTCAATGTCTCCACCCTGGATGTTCAGCAGCGTGTAGGGAAAGTGGTTTTCTCCTGAAGTCGAAGATCATCTCCTTGGTCTTACTGGTGTTCAAGCACAAGTGGTTGGCTCACACATGTCGACAGCTGTGATAAAACTGACGATATTCCAGTTGGTTCCCCTTTTTCAAAAACCACACAGCCCACGATGGCGGAGAACTTGCAGGTGGACAGCTGTGTGTGTGTCGTATGTGAGTCTGAAGGTCGTTAGATGGTGAAAGTTGAAACGGTAGGAGAGGACCAGTCCCTGATGGGGCCCAGAACTGCCGCAGACTACCACCTCTGAACCCACAGCCGCACGTATCTGTGGGTCGGTCTGAGAGGTAGTCGATGGTCCCTGCAGTTGATGGGCTACTGTCCACTCCTGCGACCTCATCTTCCCCCGCAGCAGGAGTACCGGCCTGATGGTGTTGAAAGCACTGGAGAAGTCGAAAGAACACGACCCTCACAGCGCTGCCCGGTGGGCTCCAGGTGGTCGAGAATTTTGGAGCGTCCGCTGCGAGATAGTATGATGCGTGGCGTCCTCTACTCCGATATGGGCTGTAGGCGCACTGCAGCGGAGTCCAGGTTGGGGCTGACCCACAGAGCGGAGATGGGTTGAGGGGATGAGCCCGCTTCATGGCATCATCATGTGGGAGGTCAGAACCCCACACCCCCCCACTCCCCCCCCCCCACCCCCACACCCCACACCCCCCCCCCGCACCCACCCCCCCACCCCCCCCCACAAACCCCCCCCACCCCCCCCACCCGACCCCCACCCCCCTCCCCCCCCCCACCCCCACCCCCACCCCCCAAACCACCCCCACCCCAACCACCCACCCCCCACCCCAAACCCCCCCCCCCCCCCCCATCCCCCAACCCACCACAACCACCACCAACCCCAAACACCCCACCCCCCCCGTTCTGTAGTGAGCCGGTTCCTTGGCTTGCGCGGTATTAGGAACCGGGAGCACACACTAGGTCTTCCACAGGACAGGGACCTTCTCCAGGCTGAGGCTCAGGTTGTAGATGTAGGTGTGGAACTCAGAGAGTGGGACCGATCCCGTACGGGGCTTGCGGATTCCTAGTAATGGGTCGGCTCTGCCTCACACACAAATCCCGTGGTATGCCTTGCCTTGATCAGTACAGTGAACCATGAGTTGGCCCCCCGTGAGTTGTCCCCGATATTTTCCAAAATTTCCTGGATCCGGGGGAAGGGTGGGCGGTGGCGATCAGGCAAGTCATTTTGGTTTCAACAGTCTGTAATCCACAACATAGACCGGAGGGTTCCATCTTTTTTTTGGGACACATTACAATAGGTGACGAAATAGTGTGAACATGACTTTTGAATCCATCCTTACTCAGCGTCTTGAATGTTGAGACTTTACTTTCTGGTAGAAGATGACGTGCGATAGGAGTTATAAGACCTTTGGATGGGTACGTATGTGTTTTAACTGAATGTTCATTGAAGTTCTTTAATAATCAGTGTCCCAATCGTCCTTGGCAAACACGTGGCTCTCCTATCTCAGCAACTGCTTGACTTTTTTTGCTGCTGTCTGGAGAGAGATGGCTCAGGTCCACGGTGGATCCCATAGCTCCCCTTGTGGCCCCTCCCATGTACCCTGAGCTGTTGATGCCGTGCTGCCCTCTTCCTCCTGGGGTTCCATCGGGCACACCTTTCAACACTATGCAGCCAGCCTAGTGTTGTACAGCCACAATTGTAAGAGTCCAATATTATTTTTCCAGTCCACTCCAATAATAGACTCCTGTGAGCCACTGTCCCAAAAACAGTCGTATCCACTATTTAATGACGCTATGACCAGGGGGCATATTCGTCCACTGCTTAGCGGTTTGTCTTGCGTAGTACTAGGTGAGAAACTCCAAGATGGCGCCGTGCCAGGAGCGTCGCTGCAAGTGCTCCGTTGTGCACCGTTGATTTAAGTAGTCAGCGGCTCTTCTTTTTGCGGAAACTTAGAGAGTTACCAATAACTCTAAGATTCTGCTTAACTTTCATCGCGGCACCAATGAGAGTTTACTTGTTGGTTCTGTGACTGTGTGGTTTCGTAACATCACAAATAAAGAAAAGAGCGTTAAAAAAGGTTCTTCGCTCTGCAAAGAGGGACTGTGGGCTGTACGTTCTGTTCTGGAGGTTTTTATGAATCCAGACTCTATAAACAGAGCTATTAAAATCATCAATGACATCTTTCTGGCCACCCTGGGAAAAAGCCTGTTTCCAGCTTCTTCCCTCTGGAAGAAGATATCGGTCGCTGAGATGCAGACATCTCGCTAACAGAGAACTTTAATTCCTGCTATGACCCCTTGTATCGTTTTTGTTGATCGGTTGCCACCGGGACAAGCTGTTGTTTTTTATATTCTTTTATTTTCAGTGTAGGTGTATTTTATATTACATTGTATCCGTGCTTTTGGTCTGTCGGTGCACACAGAGTACCTTTTTGCAAATGTTTTCCAATGTCGTTTTTATACTGCACATGCTAATAAAATGAATCTGACATCGAGGGGGCTCTGTCCTGGTAGAACTGGCTTCAGTTTACCAGATGTACCAAAGGTCAATTTAATTAGACGAGGCTGAACATGAGTGACTTTACGAAAGCCAATAAGCCCAGTGGTCAGAACTGCCACATTTATAACTGTGGTTACACTTGCCTTGAGGATTGGTGATCTGGCAATGATGACACCTTCCCGGGGGTCTCTGGCGTTGCCTGAAAGTTCCTGCCCGAGCGGCGTGGTAAGATCTGTGTGGTGTGGGGGTCTTTGGGCTTGCTGGAGGCCTGAGAGAGCTGTGTAGACTTGTTGTATAGCTTCACAGATTGCTTTTATTGCCTTTGATCATTTTTCCGTCAAAGTCTCACGTTTTTGGGGGGTTCACTGGGCATGTTATTGTGGATGTGGGGCTGTGCTCTCCCTGTTAAATGTAAGGTCCTCCACCATTGCAGAATAATCACTGCTTTGGACTGGTCGCTAATTGGTTTTTTCATTCCGATTTCCAGTGTGTATGCATCTGTAACTTTCTCCAACAGCACTTCAGACACATTTAATCTCGTAGATATGGCTTTAAATCAGTTCTTATGGTGTCTGTCAATCGCCTGGTAAGTACAGTTTGCAAAGAATTGAATCTGTGATAAATCCGGGTGTATTTGGTCCCACTTTGGGCCCTTTCGGATAGCAAATAAAATTTGCCGTCTTAAGTCCATTGCTCCTGAGCACAAACTGAATTGGTGTCTCCCTGGGAGTCCAGTTCTGTCCAGGACCTACTGTAACATTATTTAGTGCTTTTTGGATCTTGACTCTCCAAACTGGGAATATCCAAGTTTGTCTTTTTGATGTTGGTTCACCAACTGTCCCATTATACGTTCAGTTCTTTTCTGTACAATTGGTGCACAAATGGTGGTTGGCATTAAATGGAGTCATAGTCACATGGAAACGGCACTGAATAGTGGGTGCAGCACGCGGGGCAGATGCACTTTGGGTTATGTGATGCAGTACTTCTGTATCCAGCAGAGGGAGAGCTGGCGCCGCAGGAAGTAGCTGAGGGTACAATCTTAATTCATCAATGCGGACAGTAAACTATGAGCAACAACGATAATCCTTCATCCTCGGAGCGAGACAACATCTTCTCCTTCCAGATTCTGTAGTGATAGTCCTCATTGCAACGAGGCTAAGGTCCTTGTCCTCTTCACTACAGATGCTCCCAAAGATTGGAACAAAGATATATTAAATCCGCAGCACAGACAAAGTCATTAGATTTTCCTCAATCCGTCCATTGCATTCTCCAATCTCCGACATCTTCGAATGTTAAGTATACATATTTGTAAAGTTTTTACCGTGCGTACAGGTAAACAGCTTCAGTCTCGTGAGTGCGCTGATGCCTCTGGCCTGAAGCTGGTGGCTTTGTAGGGGTTAAACTCCAAACTCTGCTCTTTTCCACAACAGCGTCGTTCCAATGCGATCTCCCAAACCCGAGCAGAATCACCAAGATTCGAAGTTGCACTCTTAAATGACCAGGAACAATACAAATAGTCGTTTTACAACGTTTTTGGTCCCCGTTCCGAGTCACCGGTAAAGGCTACGAGGGTGACTAAATCATGATCGCACCCGTCAAACACTCACTAGTTCGCAGGTGTGGCCGTGGTTGATACATTTGCAGCTAGCCCCTCAATGATAAAATACGTGCATAGATTTATTAATATCAATCAAATTCAATCAAAGTTTATTTGTAGCAGCGCCTTTATACACGGGCAACACAAAGCGCTTCACAGTCCCACATCCAAAAATCATCACATAAAAACAAACACCAGAATCACAATTTAAAACATTTTAAAATCCACACAAAAGATTAAAACACAATTAAAACATTAAAATCACACTTAAGAATTAAAACATTAAAAACTTTCAAAATTTACAAGAAATTTTTTACAAAAAAATAAAAAAATTGACAGCACGTGCATTTAAAAATGGAGAATAAAATCCCTTCAGTTATATGCACAGGCAACAGAAACAGTCTTTAACCGGATTTGAACATTGACAGAGTAGAACGCATCCCTACATTTTCAGGGAGATGCCTGTTCCAGATCTTAGCTGCATGGATCTGAAACGCAGCCTCCCCATGTTTGGTTCTCACCTGGGCACCTGCAGGAGGCCAGTCCTGTGCTCCTCAGAGTCGGGCGGTTCATATGACACCAACATTGTCACTAATGTATTCTGGTGTTTAGCAAGGCCATGGAGAGACTTGTACACAAGCAGAGCGTTTAAAATCTATTCTTTGAGCCAACAGGAAGCCAGTGAGGGACTGAGGACTCGGACTAATATGGTCATACTTCCTGGTTCTTTCCAGGACTCTAGCTGCTGCAATTTTGGATGTACTGCAGCTGCTTACAGGTCTGTTTGGACAGACCCTGTAAGCAGGCCATTGCAGTAGTCTAGCATGCTGGAGACAAAATGCATGGACAAGAATCTCCAAGTCTGACCCTGGACACTATATTTCTAACTTTGGCAATGTTCTTCAGATGTAAAAAGCTGGTGATGTTATTGATTTTATGTGGCTATTGAAAATTTAGGTCTGAGCCAGTATTACCCCATATTTCTGACCTTGTCTGAAGGAAGTAGTTACGGAGAGGAGGACTGAAGTGGACAAATGGACGCCCTCTCTTGGTTTCTGGGGACCAAAGGACAATGATTTCGGTTTTGTCTGCATTTAGCTGGAGGAAATTATGTTGCATCCACGTCACTGATCTGTTGGATTACAGTAAGGAGCATATTCAGTGGTCCAGTTCTCCTGCAGTCAGTGAGACATTGATCTGAGAGTAGTCAGCGTAATTGTGGTAGGACACTTTGTTTCTTAGTATTAACTGACCTAACGGTCAAGCATGTAGAGAATTAAATAGTGAAGGGTCCCAGGATCGACCCTGTGGTACACCACAGGTCAGGGCCACATCATCTGAGACGCCAAGTCTCCAAATCTCAACAGAGTACTTCCTCTCCTCCAGGTAAGACCTAAACCAGGTCTAGGGGACTGTGCCAGAGTGGACACCAGACCAGTCCTCCAGTCTCTGCGATGAGGATCTCATGGTCGACAGTGTCGAACGCGGCACTAGAATCTAACATGACCAAAACTGTGACTTCTACCTGCTAAAACAGTGTGAAGTTCGGAATGTCGTTTGTTACTCTTCATAGAGCGGTCCAGTGCTGTGGTGGGGTCTAAACCCAGACTGGAAACATATCAAAAGAATTATCATTGTTAAAAATTCAGTAAGTTGTTGGTGAGCCACTTTTTCAAGAATTTTCCAATAAATGGCCAGTTAGATGATGGGGCGATAATTTTAAGTCCCGCAGGATCCAGACTGCTCTTTTTTAGGAGAGGTCTTATGACTGCTGTTTTAAGGCCATATGGAAATGTTCCTGACATGACAGATACAAGTATTACAATGTTGTGTCAGTGAAGGTAACAAACTGCCTCAGGACGGACTTCAGAAATTTAGAGGGCATATATCCAGGATACATGTGGAGGAGTCAGACCTAATGATTATCTTTTTGACAGTTTCAGTATCCACAGGTGCAACAAAGTGGAGTTAGCTCAAAAGCATTCTATGGCTGTTGCATTGTTATAACGTGCTGTGGAGGTGATAGTGTTTTGTGTTCTTGTACTTTGTCATCGAAAAACTGTGCGGAACTAACACCTAGATTTAGAGGAAAAATTCTAGGGGGGCAACTTTACAGGGGGGTTCGTTCAATTACCAAACTGGTTGAACAAAACACAAAATTGTTACTGCAAACTCCAATAATGTCAGGAAAAATAAATTTCTCTTGGTCTACGTAGAACCCGGTTAAATTCACCAACTCCATCTTTAAAGATTTCATAATCGCCCTGGAAATTGGGACTTTCGCCACTTCCGTTCGGGCCCTCCGGCAATCCCTTGCTTCTGTGCCTACCGAAGGTTGCCTTAGTCCATGGACCTTTTTCTTACTGGTAACTATTTATAAACCGTCACAGGAGCCAATGGCGTCCAGAACAGTCAGAACACCTGGGTGGTGACAGAGTTATACAATTCATCAACAGTAGAAGCATGGGAGTTCTCAAATTTAGCTTCCCATGAACAGTTCACTTGTGTTATCATTGTATGTGTCTTCTTCTATCAGTTGTAAATTCAGCTGGTGGTTTGCTAGCAAAAACACATGTCAAAAAATTCACAGAAATGATCTTTCTGACAAAGCACATCAACTACATTATAATTTGATACATTAACCCCTTTGTAAAATTAGCAGGTATCAAGAGTGTGCCCCTGCTGTGGGTAGGGCCCACTCACGTTGCTGAATGAACAAAGGTCTCAAAGTACCAGAAGCAGCTCATTTGCATTTTCTGTCATCAACATTATCAACATTGTTACATTAAAATCACCGTGTAATAATCTAAAAACTAACAAAAATCTGTGCACTCGAATGAAAGTTAGTTCAGTAAAATGGTCAATAAGAATCGCAAAACATGACTGTGGTGGCATGTACAGGCACAACTGAAAAGAGAGTAGATGAATTGCTTTTGTTCCATTTTAAAAAGAAAATCTACTCAAACGATTGGAAAAATTTCCAAGGGGCATTTCTATGGGAGACGAAAAGTGCTCTCTGAAAAAACTGCAGCTATGCCTCCCCCTTTTGTTTTCTGCGTATTTCGGAATTCGAATTTAAAATTGGGTGGTGTTGCTTCTATTAGAACTGCATTCCTGTATTTTGGTCGAGCCATGTTTCAGCCATAAGCATAAAAATCAAGATCATAAGAAGTTGATAAAATTATTAAATAAAAATGACTTTGTTACATAGAGATATGGACATTCAGCATAGCAAGTTTAAAAAAAAACGTCAGAGTCGATTAAATTGGTTGATTGATTTCTACAGGGAACAGAAATTAGCTTTGCAGAGTTGGACGGTCTAACTGCTGTCCTGTTTTGATTTCGGTTTTTTGATTTAAATAACATTTTTTGAGCTGGTGCGAGGAAACACACACAGTCTCAATTGGCTTAAATGTGAAAACCCTTGTTTGTGTTCTTTAGCTCCCAGAGTCAGAAGGGAGTCAGCACGTTCAGTGTTTGGACTGGTAATGCACTGCCAGACGGAGGGAGCAGTGTTTGCACCGTTTTGTACTCACCCGGTGTGGGTGAGCAGCAAGCTCCTGCAGCCTCGCAAAGAATCGTACTGGAGGAAGCGCTTTTGCTACTCACGAGCTTACTCGTGCGTAGTCCCTGACTGCCCATCTGTGTCTTGCGTGCGCTGGTTGGTCTCTGCTCCTTGTGGCTGGCACCTGCTGCGGGTCTCGTGCTGTTGGTCCGTGGGTCTTTTTGGCCGCTCTCTCCTACCCTTTGCGGGGCTACTGTCCCGCGGGTTTGGCCGCTCGCTTCGTCGCGGGGCGCGAGCCTGCTGCTGCATACGGCCGGTCTAAGGGGCCCGGTGCGGTGGGAGAGCCGTGGCGGGCATTACCCTGCCTCCCTTGTTTGCCGGTTACGGGTGTGGTCCCGTTGTTGTTGTCCCCCTTGTCTTCTGGGCGCTGTTGGGGTATGTTATTTTGGAGATCCGCGGGACGGGTTTATATTCCCCTCGCATTGTCCTGCAGGGCCCCTGTCTGTTGCCCACGGTGCCTGGTGGGCAGGGCTTTTCAGTTTAAAAGCCCTCGCTTTGGGCCTGCAGGCTCTCTTTAATCCAAGCTCCGTTATATCCTTCAATCTGACTGCAGGCTCCGTTTAGATCCTCACCTTGGAACTCAAGACCTGAGGTTTTAATCCCTCGGCATTGACGTACCGCATGGCTCTCAGTTTTTAATTCCCCTCACTTTGGCCATGCAGGCACTTGTTTACATTACCGCTCTCTGGACTACGAGCTCTGTTTTAAAATCCCATCTCTTGTTGGAGACTGCATGCCGCTGTTGTATATCCCTTCGCGGAACTGCGGCTCCCAAAATTAATCCCTTTCCATTGTCTGTGAGATCTCAGGTTATCCCTCACCCGAACTGCTTATATCGGGAAATACTTATATCTTGGGAAATGCTTATATCTGAAATGCATAATAGCTGGAAATGCTTATATCTGAACTGACTTATATCTGGGAACTGTTGTAATCCGTATCTGGTGACTGCTTGCATATGGAACTAGCTTATTTATGGAACCGCGATAGTGGAACTGCTCATATGGGTACGGTTATTACCTGGAACTGTTATGGCAGTACATGGAACTGCATATATGGTACTGCCCTATATCCTGGATCGCTATAGTAATTAACAACTAAATAAATGAATAAATAAAAATTACATGTAAATAAATGCATATAATTAAATATAATTAAATTATAAATAAATATATATAATTAAACATAATAAATATAGAATAAATATAAATAATAATAGATAAATATATAATAACGAAGAAATAAATAATAAAAAATAAATAAAAAAAAAAAATGCAGGCTCTGTTGGCTCCTCACACGGACTGTAAGCTCTCTGTTTACATTCCTTGGACTGCGGGCTCAGTGTAATCCCTCACTCGGACCGTAAAAACCTGTGTAAATCACTTGGGAGCGATAAAACCTGTTGATATCCCTGCACAAACTGAACGCTCTCAACTATCATCCTATACGTGAGCGTGGCTTTGATACAGGTTCTATTGTGCTGTTATTATCTTAGGACGTCGCACTGCTGCTGCTGCTGTATGTGCTAGCTGTCATTGGCTAGCTAGCTGCTGCATGCGGCGGCTCCATACTGGCTATGCATAATGCTGCAGCTCCATACGCGTGCTGCTGCTAGCTACTGTGCTAGCTGCCTTCCTTTGTACTTTGCCATCTCTCTCACTTGCATCTCTGTTACTGAATCACTGATCTGCTACGACAACCTTCTACTGCTGGTGTGCTTGATACGGGTTTTTACTGTTAATGTCTAAGGTTGCTGCCTACTGCTGGCTAGCCTGCTGCTGCCGCGGCTGGATACAGGTTATCGCTGTTATTTATCTGAGGTACATGCTGGCTCGCCTGGGTAGCTGCTGCTACCGCTACTTGCTGGCAAGCCCACTCTCTCAGAGGCTTAGTCCTGTTTCTATTGGACGCCTGCCGGCTGAGATATGCCGCGCCGACGCTGGCCTCGTTCCTATGCTCCCAAGGGTCGCTTCTCGGCGGTCATAGCTTCATCTCTCTACCATAACTCTCTGATCTCTAGCAGATCGCAGCCGGCCAGAGTAGCTGGCGCTGAGCCGTCCTTCGGACTCCTAATCAAAGGCATATCCTTACCTGTATTCTTCTACTCTTCTGATCGCAGGCTCTCCCCATCGTGCTTGCCCATCCTGCGAGCAGCCTTGAGCGGCACTGAACTCTGGCTCGTCTTCAAGTACATGTTCAGCCCTCCTCGCAGCATCTTCCTGCTCGCCTGTCTATGACTTCTCTGCATAAGCGTTTACCATACTGCTCACTCAACCTTCATATGCGGTCCGAGACGCGGCTTCCCGACCATCCTACTATCCTGATTATCTACTCTCCAACCAAGTATTCTAAGCGTAAGGGCTCCTGCAACTCAATGGCCCTCTCCGATATTCTCTATGCCCCTACAGGTCTCTCGCTTCTACACGGACGTGCCCCTTCCGTGGGGTTTTGGGGGATTCTTCCAGGACCATTGGGTTGCCGGGCCGTGGCCGCTACGTTCCACCGGAGCATCTCCTCTGCCCTACACCGAGATATTCCCAGTGGTCGTGGCATGCGCGCCGTGGAATCACACGTGGCAGAGAAAGAGGATCTCTGTCATGCGCGATAATCCTCGACAGTGGAAAGCTTCGACACAAAGGTCGCACTTTTTCACCCAACATAATGTCCCCTGACCATTTCAAACCTTCATCTCAAACATTCAAAGACCAAGGCGCCTGCAACATAAATAATAGCTCGCCTAGGTCCCGACACATCTCTCTCCAGACAACCGTTGCCCTACCGCAACCTGGTTCAGAGCTCAACAAGATCCATACATGCACCTCTTCAATTTGTCACCCCAGCTAATACAGCCCCATCTCCTTCATGATAGGCTTGCCACGCTCTTTAGAGGCCTCGCTGGTGGCGTGGGGGGGTGCGCGGGGGCTCCCACTACCGTCTCTGCAACAGCTGGGTGCTGGTCCTCTTTCGGCTTTCCTCCGCCTATCATCAGGCCAGACGCGTCCGCCATCCTGCTGCACAACGCCTACGGCTTCCTCGCAAGCTCCCAGCAAAGCAATACGAAGCAAAGTAAGTGAAGCAAATAAGATTCTGGTGGCGGCACGCACTTTCTCAAACACTCTCCGCTGCCGCAGCGTCCTGACGGAACGTGATGCGAGCGCTCCCGTTCCCAGCACGCAAAGATAACCCTCGACGCTTACGACTCGCCGTCCGCTCTCGGAAAGGAGACCTCAACGGACCGTTATTTCGCACGCCCCAGATCACTCCCATGCATCCACGGTTCAGAGCCCAACTAAAGCCGTCTGCGTGCTTGTACCTGTCTCGGCCGATCTCTACGCAGGTCACTCCTCCGGATAGGCGCCGCAGCAGCCGAGTATCACAGCAATATAGACACAGTAATAGCGGTCACAGCATATAGCGATAGCGGTCACAGCATAGCAGCGATAGCGGGTCACATGCAATATAGCGATAGCGGTCACAGCATATAGCGATAGCGGTCACCGCATATAGCAAAAAATGGTTAGCAGCATTGCGCTGGCGGTCACAGCATAGCGATAGCGGTCACAGCATATAGCGATAGCGGTCACAGCATATAGCGATAGCGGTCTCAGCATATAGCGATAGCGGTTCACACAAGCTTAGCGCTCGACGGTCAACAGGCATATAGCGATAGCGGGTCACCGCCATATAGCGATTCGCGGTCCAGCATTTAGCCGGATAGCCGGTCACAGCATATAGCGTAAAAACGTGTTTAAAAGGTCTGCAATAGTGGCACGGTCCCTCTCACGAAGCTCCAATGTGAGGCGACTAATGTCGTTCGTGGTCATTGCAGTGTCACTTTCCATGTCTGTGGTGCGCTCGTGGTAGCCTCCGAGCTAGCGCGTTTCGATTGGGTCTTTGTGTTAAAAGACGTGATGCTCTGGAACCATTAATAAAACACTAGAGTGTACAAAAGACACTAATACACCGTAAAAACGTGTTTAAAAGGCTTTAAAAGGCTTAAAAAAGGGTAAAACAGAGCAGAAACGTCAAAACGCGTGCTCCCCCAGCTGAGCTTGAGCAAGTGTGTGTGTGGTATATAGCGATAGCGGTCACAGCATATAGCGATAGCGGTCACAGCATATAGCGATAGCGGTCACAGCATATAGCGATAGCGGTCACAGCATATAGCGATAGCGGTCACAGCATATAGCGATAGCGGTCACAGCATATAGCGATAGCGGTCACAGCATAGCGATAGCGGTCACAGCATAGCGATAGCGGTCACAGCTTAGCGATAGCGGTCACAGAATAGAGTAGTCACGACGTCTGTCCCCTCCAAACCAGGCTTCGAAAACTCCATCAACACGCAGCCTTTTTGGGGATTGTGCGCGCTCATCGCAGGAGCCTTTCCGATCCGAAGGCCGCACCGGGACCTAGGGCGCCAAACCTCCTTTCATAAAATACTCAACTTCCTGTTTCTCGTCTCTCCAAATTGAAATGCAGCCCGCGAAAATTCAATTTGGTAGACGTTAACCAAATTTACCCCCTCCAGGCCGGCTCTCATCCCCAGCCTATCGCTCAGCAGACGCCCCCTTCCAATCATCTGTACCGACTCGCAGCCGCATAAAAACGGAGCAACTCCCACTACCGGCCTCCTGAAGCCTCGCAACCACCGCCTCCCCTCCTCCTCCTCTTCACCCTGCCTCCAACCTGCCTTCAATTTTCTTCCCGCTGCCAAATGCCGCCACCAGTGCCTAGGTCCCGGGGGATTGTGCGCGCTCATCGCAGGAGCCTTTCCGATCCGAAGGCCGCACCGGGACCTAGGGCGCCAAACCTCCTTTCATAAAATACTCAACTTCCTGTTTCTCGTCTCTCCACATTGAATTGTCTATCTACAGTATGTGCAGTCGTTTTGGGCCTGCCAGGATCAGGCCACTGGACATAATGGGCCTGTCTCCTCCAAAGGCCCCGGAGGTCCTGCAGAGTACCCAGAACAGAGAGTACCCACAGGACAGGGTGCCCACAGAGGAGAGTAACTACGGGACAGAGTACACACAGGACAGAGTACCCACAGGAGAGAGTACCCACAGGAGAGAGTACCCTCAGGAGAAAGTACCCTCAGGAGAGACAGGAGAGAGTACCCACAGGAGAGACAGGAGAGAGTACCCACAGGAGAGACAGGAGAGAGTACCCACAGGAGAGACTGGAGAGAGTACCCACAGGAGAGACAGGAGAGAGTACCCACAGGAGAGAGTACCCACAGGAGAGACTGGAGAGAGTACCCACAGGAGAGACAGGAGAGAGTACCCACAGGAGAGACAGGAGAGAGTACCCACAGGAGAGAGTACCCACAGGAGAGACTGGAGAGAGTACCCACAGGAGAGACAGGAGAGAGTACCCACAGGAGAGAGTACCCACAGGAGAGACTGGAGAGAGTACCCACGGGAGAGAGTACCCACAGGAGAGACAGGAGAGAGTACCCACAGGAGAGACAGGAGAGAGTACCCACGGCAGAGAGTACCAGTACCAGGTATCGAGACACCTAGTGTCTCGATACCTCAAAAGACTTGGTGTTCCACAATCCAACGTAAAAAAAAAAATCTTGCAAAGAATAATACAAATTACACAAAACTTCAAGTTGTATTTGTACTTTTGCAACCCACTGCAGCGGAAAACTGTTGGAAAAAATATATATGGACAAAAATAGATTTGTCTTTGATAAATACTTTCACTCATAACAAATGGATCCCAGTTGAGTCATCTCTCATCAATCCCTGTGTCAATCCAAACTTAATCCTAATCTCTGACTCACCTGGAGTCCCAGTGTTTGACAGTTCCTTTATGTGGAGCAACACACAGTACTGCGGGCGAGTGGTAAAGCCCGCCCACACTGTTCTCATGCCTTCACTTTCACCTGTCACACCTCCAAGTGCACAAGAGAGAACATGTGTGCCTCAGGTAGGAAGGAGGAGGTCAGGAGGAAGTCAATAAAAAGCTGTCATTGTCGAAACATAAATTATAATGCTAAGAATGCGGTGTTGGAGAATCGTTCATCCAGCCAACACCAGTGCTCTATTCCAGATCATTTAGTCGATAATATTTCTGTCAGAGATTTTTGATTTGTTTCCTCAACATACTAAAGATTTTATTCTTGCTTCTTTTTGTTGTTAAAGTGAGACATTTTTGTTCTTTTTTTTCTAGTGTCTATTGTTCACGTATCTAGTATTGTTAGCTTCTTATCCCTACTGTTCTGTAACCGGTGATGCAACACTGATAACTAACCACTGTGGGACAAATAAAAGATCTCTCAATCTTAATCTTAATCTGAATTTTTGCATTTTTCCCATGTTTTTCAATGCAATATTTAAAGTGTTGCTTCAGTAAAACTATAGTAGATGGGAGTATGTTGTCGTTTAGTTTTATGTGGTATAATGTTAAGGTGAACCCCCTCCTCTCTAGGACACTTTGTCAACTAAAGACTTTACGAATAAACAAGAACAGATGTGTGTGATCATTTATTTTTTTGTTCTCCATTTTATATTGAAGCACCAAATTTCAGCTCTTTACAAGCATTACTCTCTCCATATGTGGCCCTCCAACTGAGACATTTTTGCCCTTTTCTATTCAACAAAACGTATTTTTGTATTGGCTTAAATTATAACAGCAGTCATCTTGGAAGACTTTATAAAGGACGATTTGCCAACGACAGATCAGAGAATCGAACAGTTCAAACACAGGAAATGCGATAATAACAAACACATAGGAACCATTGGTCCATAATGTCTGGAGCCGCAACATAAAACACAAGTTATACACTTAAAAACAAGTTGTATGTATTTCAACAGTTACAATGTTGCGTAACAACCACATATCAATGAAGCTGAACAAAAAAATGTCTGCGACTTAATAATGACCTTAAAGCTGGAGAACCGTACATTTTCAAGTCTTTATGGTATAGGATTTGAATAGTCCCTCGGCTCTGGACTAATAAATAGATCTATCTAAATCTATGATGTGTGCACAGGACACAATCTGAATGTAAAGCTCAGGTCTCTGACTCCTGTGGCTCAGAGAATATAATTTATTATATCACAGTACATCTGTGACATGTGGGTACCATATGAACCAGCTCGGACTCTGAGGAGCACAGGGACTGCCTCCTGCTGGTGCCAGAGTCAGAACTAAACATGGGGAGACAGTGTTCCAGCAGCTATGGTCTGGAGCTGTCTTCCTGAGGATGTGAGACTGGCTTCCTCTCTGGCGATGTGCAAAACCAGGTTAAAGACCAGGTGTGTTTTGCCTGTGCACACAACTGAAGGATTTTATCTCTAGTCTTTTTAATGCACTGTTGTTATTTATTATTGTAATCCCTTGATTTTAATGTTTTAATGGTTTTAATTACTTGTGTGAATTTATTGGGTTTTTAATTGTGATTTTGGTGTTTCATTTCTGTTTTGTGCTTTGCGTGGTGTGGACTGTGAAGCACTTTGCGTTGCCCTGTGTAGAGAAAGGGCTTTATAAATAAAGATTGATGGATTGATAAAGCTGCAGAGAGTACACTCAGAATGACTGCAGCTTGTCTCGTCCTCAGCAGCTTCTCTCTTCACCTGCGAAGGAGAAACAAATTCTCCTTGTTTGGATAGTCCTCTTGCTAGGTGTAGTGGTTCTTCTAGCCCCATCTGCATCTGGTTAGCTCCTCTGTTAGCACCATAGTGTTGGCTCTAGTGCAGGGGTCTCCAACCTTTTTCAGTCAGAGAGCTACTTCTGTACAAAAGGAGAGGCAAAGAGCTACTCCTCTTTGCAGTCGTAATAAAAATCTATTTAATAGTTATGACAAAACTTGGAGAAGAAAGAATACTATATAACCCTTTATTTAACCATATATTTATTATTGCTTTGGCAAGCTACCTGAAAGGGGCTGGCGAGCTACTGGTAGCTCCCGAGCCTCAGGTTGGAGACCCCTGCTGAACCGTAGTAGAACTACAGTATTATAACAGCGTGTGAACAGGATGCCACTTGAGATGATTTGAAATGAACGAGAGAGAGGTCCACCTGTCCTTTCTGTCAGAAACCTCAACATGAGTTTGGGGATTTCCTCCAGTCAAATGACTTTCAACAAAGACAAGAATCAACACTTTGGTTTCTGTACTTTTGACATTCAAGTCAACATTGGCAAAAGTCAAATCAAGAATTTCCCTGATTTCCCTTTTCAGTCTTTCAATTATCAATTATTCATTGTACAATACAATAAAAGGAATATATATATATATATATATATATATATATATATATATATATATATATATATATATATATATATATATATATATATATATATATATATATATATATATATATATATATATATATATATACAATTCAACTTATAAGTAAGTGATAAGTAACTTATGTTTCTTACCTCATACCCACATTTTATTTCTTTTGCAGAATGTCAATGATTCGACTCATTTCATAGTCAGGAGTCTTATGTAAACATCAGATAAATCTCTTTTATTTTATAATAATACTTTATTATAATTGACACTTGTTATCATGTATAAAATCAACAGCCTTTTGAGAAAATCACCCCCAAAAACCCAATGTCATTTGATAGTATTACATTGAGTCTACAGAAAAAGAATGTTCGTGTTTATCCCACTATTGTATTTAACTTTGTAAAGCACAAAGGTTCCCTGGGCTTCTTCAAACGTCAGCGATCATGAGAGCCACGTGCCACAAGAACAAGACCGTGCTTTTGTGTCTTGTTTCTACTTCTGCGATAGCACACTTTCCACAGCGGTGGACACAGGTACACTTCAAATACTTTTCCACAAAACCATAAAGCCCCAGAGCAAATACTGGGCACTGCTGATACATGCACCGCAGCAATGGACTGTGGGAAATATGAGGAGTGTGAAACGTTGCCGTAGCGATGAACAGAAACAGGACGACAGATTGGGAAACGGCCTCACGATGATGGGAATTCATGAGGCTCTTGATTTTGTTGAACACTGTCACAATTTAGAAGAAGGTTCAGATGAAACAGAAAAACAAAATAACCAAAAAAAGGTGAGGAAAATTCTTGATGACTTATTTGAAAAACAGATCTGAGTATTAGAGAAATTTTAAGTTTTTGTGTGAATGTGAAAAATTCTTTGTTTTGTTTCAATTTGTTTGTTTTTTTGCTTTTATGTCTTTTGTTTGTCCTTTCTTTGTGTTTTTGTTAAGTTTTTTTTCATTAAGGATTTGAAGAGATCTTTTGTTTCTTTTAAGTTAAACGTGTTCACTTTATTACTTTTAGAATTATGTATATATATATATATATATATATATATATATATATATATATATATATATATATATATGTTTGTATGGGTGATGTACTTCTGCTGCTGGACACTTGAAATTATCCTCCGGCGATCAATAAAGTATCTTTCTATCTATCTTTCCTCGAAGTCGGACCTGGCAGGAAGTCACATGACGCCACTCTCCAGCAGCGCGCAGAGGACCGCAGCTGATGCAAAGCTGCGGTGGAAAGTGCAACGAGTGAAAGGAAAAAGGAGGCTCTGTTAGTGAATGCAAGGTTATAAAACACTGTGCTACATTCGTAAAGGACTCAAACGTGTGCATTAGGCTAAGAATAAGGAATCATTTACTGTTAATGAAGTTATAACAGTGTTTCGTTGTGAAAAACAGACGTGGAAATGCTTTGAGCTGCATCCAGAAACTCACCCCTCACACTCACAGACATAATAATAATGCATTGGTTCTATTTTTGGACACTCAAAGATACTTCACACTACGTCCTCTGTAGTCACAGCTGCCCTGAAGCATGCTGACAGAAGCAAGCCAACCAGTCTGTCCTCACCTATCACCGCTAACCATGTTACATTAAGTTAAGTCTAGATTTAGATTTACATTTAAGTATACACTGTGTAGTTTTTACTTCCATCTAGCGTTGAGATTATATATTGTAATTTACGTTTCTACGGTAGCTTTGCAGGACAATATATCGTCTTTGACAATGGTCCCCAACTCCCGGTCAAACTCCTTTTTGTCCCTTATCAACCACTGTATTTCAAGGCGCAGTGACATGTAAGGCAAGGCAAGTTTATTTGTATAGCACAATTCACACACAAGGCAACTCAAAGTGCTGAACAAAATAAGAAAGCATTAAAATTCATATATAATCACAGAACATTAAAAAGAAAGATAAAAATATAAAATCCCTCAGTTGTATACTGCTAAACAGAACTGTTTTCAACCTTGTCTTAAACATTGTCATTGAGGAGGCCTGTCTCACATCTTCAGGAAGACTGTTCCAGATTTTAGCAGCATGAATCTGAAAAGCAGCCTCCCCATGTTTAGTTCTGACTCTGGACACTAACAGGAGTCCAGTCCCTGTGCTCCTCAGAGTCCGGGCTGGTTCATATGGGACTAACATGTCACTAATATATTTTGGTGCGAGGCCATGGAGAGATTTGTACACAAGCAGAGCTGTTTTAAAGTCTATTCTCTGAGCCACAGGAAGCCAGTGCAGAGACCTGAGAACTGGACTAATGTGGTCGTACTTCCTGGTTCTAGTCAGGACTCGAGCTGCTGCATTTTGAATGTACTGCAGCTGTTTTACAGCCTGTTTGCTATAAAAGAGTCCTCCAGCCTGATGGACATTTTTAAGTCAAATTCTAAGTCTATGACAGCAATTCAAAAACATGGTGGAGGTAAATACTCTTAAAAAAGGTCACATTTGTTGTTGGTTAACACGTTTTTTCAATTTGGCGCAAATGTATACAATTACACAGAGTACCTTAAACTTTTCCCCACAACTATCACAGTGTTGTACAAGTCATCTCTTAATGCATTTTTCACAGGAGATAACCTTATTCAAACACACCTCCAAGAGTCTGGCGTTACACTATCTGTATCTGCCAAACAGATGTCTCCCCCTCACTCTGACAAAAAAAAAATCAATAAATCACTCTTTAGTTTTACAGTGAAGTACAAGGAAAAGTTCTAAAGTCCAGGGGCAGCGCCGCAGCTGTTGGACCGCTTCCATCTCTTCACTGGAAACTGATGTCTTTCTACAATATTCTTTTTTTAAAAACAAATATGTGCAACTGCTCGGAACACCACGTCATACTTTTTCAGAGGGATGTTTGAAATGGTTAGAAATATAAACAAGACTTAAATAATATGTTTTTTTTAATTGACCTTTATTTAATCTATGTGACCTCAAGAGTTTATGTCTTCTTTAGTGACATTCATTTTATGTAATGATGTTTTAGACAGTGACATTGTTTTATGAAATAGAAAGATTATTTTATTTGTTTATTGGTGCTATCAATGTGAAATAAAAAGAGTGATGTACCTGAGGCTCTGCTCTATCTATAAATATTTCAACCGATTTAGAAAAAAACATCATATATCTGAATTCTATGTTATGCTAATGTTTCAGGAACATTTTATTGGAACAATTCATCTATGAGCAGGGAAACTTGCTTTCATTTCTAATAAAACATCAACATTGAAGGGAATATCATATCACTCCGCCTTGCAGCGCTGAAACAGTGACGACAGCTGCTCTAGTGGCTCTACGCTCTGACCAGTGAGCTACCGCTGTCATGAAGCACACATCGATGGTTTTTGATACCATTTGGAGACACATTTGGCTTTGCATGGTAAAACTAAGAGACATTATCCAGTCTGTAAATGCTGGTACAAGAATCCAGGAGTGAAAGGTTGAGTGGAGCTTCTGTTTGGTTCAGCTGTCTTCATGTCAGAAAATGTTAACTTCACTTTTTCATACAAATGAATTACAAAATGATTAACAAATGTTTGAGCTAAGCATTTGATTATGTTCAAACTTGGACTTACATCACATTCATTATAATATTTGCCTTTAGAAGAAGCGAGACTTGTTTCAAGAGCAGTCCTTTATATTTCAACAGATAATGAACTGCTGCTTTGTCACGGTTGCATCGCAGAGTGAAGTGTCTCTGTGCAGCATGTCAAGTCTTCTTTAATGGCAACAATGGCTCTGGCAGCGCACGTTTGCATAAATCATCATTACTATTATCACTATTGTTGCTCTGATGACTCCAGTGCTTCTTTTGGCCTGATTGTCTCGCCTTAAAGTCTGTGAGAGGCACTTTTGTACAAGAAGGCACTGGAAACAGCTGATCATAAGAAGCCCATTTCTTTAAAGGCATTATTATTTGAACCACTCTGGCTTCTCTACCTCAGTTTTTGGAAATAATGTTTATATATATTTTATTTATATATTTCTTTACTCAAGTTTTAATATATTAAATCAGTAATGTTTTTAATTTAAATCAATGTATTCATTTACATTTTCCCTTTACAACAGTGATCCCCAACATTTTAGAGTTATGACACACCGTGCTAATCACATGCACAGCACATGCACAGCACAAGCTGAAACTGAAACTCTGCCTTTGGTGCCAAAGTCATCAAAGTGTAGCATAGTAGTAGTAGTATAGAAAAGAAACCAGCGCAAAAGGTCTTCTCACATTATTTTCTTTTCACTTTTTTTTTTGACCAATGAGGAGATATTGGCACTTTAATGTGCTGCTGCACAGCGGTTGAAAAACACTGCTCTAATAAATAAACAAACACACATTACAAGATCTTGCATGAACATTAACATTGGTTAACTCAGGTTTCTGCAGTGACGGCCTGAAGATGCAACACTTTTAGTAAAGTGAGACGGTGGGGCGGCTGGAAATGGCCATAAAAAGTTGTGTCCTCAGGCAAGACACTTCATCCACATTCGTAAAGTCTGGGTTTTGTGTCTGTTTGTGTGTGCGCTTGAGTGTGCAGATTGGCAGCCTTGCTCCTGTCTGTCTGCCCTTGGGCTGTGGGTTCAGTCAAAAATCAGAGACAAATCAGAAATCCATGTGTGCACAAAGCGCTTAGTTTATCATTCATGTGAAAATAGTTACACTTTCATGAGTACAAACAAAACTTTGCTACAGTATAAGCAGCTCAAATAAACAATATGAAACTAAAAACACAGTCCCTTTCTCAAACTTAGCCGTTGAATATTTGCAAAAACAAACATATTATAAGTGATTATTTGACATTTCCCCTCTTCCCTGTTCATTCATAAAGCAGCTCTGTTCTGTGAATGGCAGAAGTGTCCATTGTGCAGTCAGCTCAGCCGCATTTCCTCTGTTGGTTTAGACCGAGTTTAGACCGGGTTCAGACCAGGTTTCACACAGCCGGGGGATCCAGGGAGGCCAAGGGAGGGGGCTGGCTGCTCAAAGGGGCTCTGTGGGAGTCAGATCATTTAAAGAACATTATTATGCACAATCTATTATCCACAATCATCCAGTTGATATCAGCAAGTCCCCTCACCCCTTCTGTCTGTATGCTGTTTTCAAACCCCTCCAAAGACGCCATGGACCTAGCTTTCTTCAGCTTTTTAAAACAACTTTTACTACTATGCAGTTCACCATTCTCCTTCAGTGCTGGAGTTCACATTTAAATTGCACTTAAGCAGAAAATCTGTGAATGTGTTTAAGTGTGCATTCTTCATTCACTCATTCACTCCTTACACAGGGGAGGTGCTACTGCAGTCACGGCCCTAGGGTCCCGCGAGCACATGAGTTCTTATGCTCCAAGCTCATAATACCCTATCCAGTTATCATAATAGATCCATGGTGATTAGGGCTGGGATAAACGATTATTTTTTAAACGATTAATCTAGCGATTATTTTTTCGATGCATCGATTAATCTAACGATTATTTTTTTCGCTTCGATTCGATTTCGATTCGATTCGATTCTCGATTATCTCCCCATTAATTGACTAATATTGATGTATACATGTTGATTTAAATATTTTAATGAAAAAAACATGAATTCCTTCACAAAAAATATGTATTGCTTGCTCTTAAAATTAAAAAATAAGACATTCTTAGAGGTAGCATAAAACCTTAAAGCCTTGAAAACACAGCTTACTGAAAAAAGTGCATCTTATCATTCTTGAAACAAACATTTGATGCTTAGCATTCAATAAAAATATGAAAAAGTTCAGCCAAATACTTGTGTAGAGCAACTAAAAGAAAACAGTAACCAATGTAAACTTGAAGGCTTTAAGCTAAACAAAGAGTGCTTTTCCAGCAAAAACAGTGGGAGCCATCAGCCTGTCATGGCTACATAAGAGTGTAGAGTGGCCACAGGACGCGTCATCAGCCTACGTCAGCAGCCGCGGACTGCTATGAAAACATTAGCTTTGTGGTTTCACAGGCGCAGTTGACTGCTTAAACTAAACTTTGCACGAAACTTTGACTCTTAAAACCCACATGTGACAAAACGGAACCATCAACATATCGCCTCAAATTGGCATTAAAAGTGACATTCGTGTCTGAATTCGTTCGTATTTTAACTTTTAAAGAAATTCACGGTCCGCCATCTTGGTTTGCTTCGGCTGCCGTGAGACGCGCATGCGCAGGTTTGCATTACATGATAAACAGCTGAGGCAGTGCATCTCTTCAA